TCCTCACCCCTGGCACTTTGGCACCGCATCGCATCCGACAAGTCATCTTGTGGGCTGGCTTGGGAGGTTGGTAAATGAGCTCTTGTTCACGGGCTTTTTCCGCAGCGTGGCTCGCAAAGTGCCTGATCCCTTAACCACTCATTGCACTTGCGGCTTTTGGCACTTCCATGTTGGCCGTGGACCCAACGCCCGGGCAAATGATGAGGTAACTGCTTCGGCGCTGGACGGACCGAGTGGTACCGGGGGTGTCTGGAGCAGTGTTGTTTCATTCTTGCCTGACTATAAAGGAAAATACTTCATCTGAGCTAGGCTTATGGTCTAATATGCGTTTATTTGCTTTATTTGTAGTTGAAAAACTAAAATCTGAAGTGCTCTGCGTGTCTGGAGGCTGGGCGAGGTGTTGCCAGCAGGTCAGGAAACGTCCTTCAGGATAGCTCAAAGCATTGTTAAGTTGGGTGCTAACAGCTGCTTCTGAGATATTTATTGACCCTGCACATAAAGCATCATTTTTTTAAAAAACAAAAGTGTGATTCGTCGAGTTATGAGAGCCCTGGGGAAAAGCTGAGCTGGTGCAGTGAAGATAGTGTGACAGAGGAAAGCCAGGTTCCCCGTCCTTCAAGGATTCGGTTACGGGATGCCCAGAAACGGCTGCTGCAGGCTGAACACTTAGAGGACAAAAGCCTTTGCTCTCGTCTGCCTTAAATCCCCACCCCAGGATTTGGCGTTCCCCACCTCGCCTGTGCGCTGGGAGCATTGCTGGGTGCTCACCCCTGCTTGCCCACCCTTCCCGTGCTTCCCCTGGAGCTGCCCGGCGCGGAGGGCGGCAGCCGGACGCTCTCGCCTTTGCTTTCGCCTGCCTGACCCGAAATAGGAAATGTGACAGGGTGACACGACCCGTGGGGCTGCAATTAGCTCGGCCCTGGGAGCGGGGCCAGCCCTCCAGAGGAGTGCAGAGGCATCCAGAGCTGGGCTGTGCTTTTCCGTGGGGCTTTTTGGGGGCAAGGCGGGTGCTGCAGTGGCGCTGGAGGGCAGCCCGGCTCTTGGGAGCACAGCCTCTTTTAACGGGGTGAATCACAGGCTCTCTTCACCGTCCTGCTCCATCCAAATACAACCCAGGATAATGATTTTGGCCCCGGAAATGAGTTCAAGCTGCTTTTCGCGCAGGCAGGGCTGGGAGAAGCAGGCCAGAAGGCGCAGGGATGCTTTGAAGGCTGCCTCGCAAGTGAGGACGCGTCTTGCATCCGCAGGCTTGGAATCAGCGCGGCACCCGACGCCGGCAAGCTTTGCCAGGTGTCCTTGGGATTTTTGGAAGTACTGCTGAGAGGTTTTGCTGGTCTTGAGGCTGGGCCTGACCCTCGCAGAGAGGAGAGACCGCCGGGCAGTGCCCATGGATAGGACTGGGGCTTGCCCGCTCTCACTACAGCATCTGATTTTTTTTCTTGCCGTGGCTTCCAGCTGCGGCCAGATGTGTGGAGCATCCCGGCACAGCATCCGAACAGACTTGCGTTGGCTAAGCATGGCTTCTCCTCATCCCCATCCCAATGGCAGTATTAGCTCTCTTCCAAAGGTGCTGCCAGCTTCTGGTTTTATTCATGGGGTTGGACTCGACAGCAAATCTTTTGCTAGACTTTTTATGAAGGGACTAGAGAAGAGCCTAGGAGCCCTGGTCTCCGGATCCTGTATTAAACATGAGCAAAAAAAACAAAACCAAAACTACCTTCTGTTTCGAGGTGAGGTGCTGCAGCGATCCCTGCTTATGCACACAGCTGGGTCAGCACCAGGTTATTTTCTCTCCCGTTTGTGCTCTGCTGCCTCAAGGCTCTGGGTGTCAGTGGTAGAGACCACACTGGGGAGCCAGGGTTTGCATTTGGCCTTGAACCATGGTAAGAAAAAGGGATTATTTAAAAAAAAAGAAGTAGAGATGCATAATTTATTATTTTTTCTCAAAGATAGGAGTATGTGTATTTTTCTCTCTTGGTAATAAACTTATTTACGGTTAAGGGTGATTTAATTATTTAGTCCCGAAATGGGACAAAAAAAGAGCTGAAGTTTACTGCTTCTAAGTTCTCTTCTAGTCACTGTTAGATCAACTCATTCATGATTCTATGAATAATACCGAAATTCTTTTTAAAATAATAATTTTAAGGCAAAACACTTCTACTCTAAGTATCCATCTTACCCTATATATCTGACAGTACAAACAGTCCTTGGGCTTTTTTGGTATTCTTCTTGCAGAATTCAATTTCTACTGAAAAAAAGCAACTTTATTTAATGGCAATTCCGTCTACCTTCATCGCGACCAACTCCTGCGATTCATTTCCTCTGCAGGCTAAAATTGGTCGTGGCTTAAGGCTGTAAATCGGTGGCATCGGGTTATTTCGAGTTCAGACCTATCTGACTGCAAATAACGTAGTTGCCCTCCTCCTTGGTCCCCTCCCGTTGGCTGTGCCAAAGGTGGCTTCTTGTCATTTGGGGTTTTCCCCACCTCCCGTTCGCTCTTCTGGCCGGGCTGTGTCCTTCGTACAGCTGCTCCTCTCGTCCTCAGAGTCAAGCAGCCCTGGGAGAGCTCTCCCTGCTTTGTGACGCTGTTGCTCCATCTGGAAGTCATTACCTGCTGAGCAGCAGTGGTTTTTGGGGAAAGGGGGTGGAGGGGAACAGAGGGGATTCCCAGTTGTCATTCTCCAGCAAACCTTCTCCTTTTCTACCCCTTCTCTCTCACTGCACTTCCAAGAAAGTGCCGCTGGCTCTGCTGGGCCAATTCCACCTGGCAGCTGGACAAAAACAGCCAGGACACCCTCTTTTGCTGCCTGGCTGGTGCCACCCCATCCTGGAGGGACTTTCCATTCCCTGCCTGTACCTTGCCCCCAGGGCAGAAGGAAGCACAACATCACAGCCAGGACCTCTTGGTACGGAGAGGTTATTCTTCCAGGCTTGGCGGCGTGGCGTAGGAAGGAGTCTCCCTCCCAGCACCAACTGACATCCCACCCTCCCCTGCGGCAGCAGCCGTGGTGGGACCAAGGTTCACCATCCTCAGGCTGGGAGCCACGACAGGGCAGGCACCGCAGCCCTCCCACCCTCCCTCTGAGGCTTGCAAAACCTCTTGGATGTGCAGAATCTCCCCGCCAGGAGCTTGTCTGTCGGGAGAATAAACACAAAACTCTCTCTTCCCTCTGCTCTTTCTTAAAGCACGCCGGCGGGGAGGGCAGGCACAGCTTTGGAGAGCCGCCCTGGGAAGCGTGGGGTGATGCTGGAGGGGGGTCTTCTAATTTATTTTTTTTTTTTCTTTCTTTTTTGTCTTTTGGAAAACATTTCCATGGTGACCTGAGGGAAGAGACTGGCTTCCATTAGATTAACGAGTTAAAGCTGCTGGGAGAGGATGGTCAAGGGG